TCTGTATCCCTTAAATTGCCTTTCGATGCTTGATCCTTTGATTCCACTGGGCTGGATTTAATTTAGTAACACTGACATATTTACCAGCGTGATACCAAGAACTTGGAGCCTTATGGTCCCAAGGAGAGTACTATGCTGGCTGCATGAGAGGGAAAACAATCGCAGAGTCTGTGATCCCTGTACACAGAAAATACATCAACAGCGCTTGTCTTTTCAGAGCAAAATCTGGAGCGGCAGGTGTTGCAGACGCAGTACAGACGGCTGGAGGCCCAGCACTACAGCCTCAGTCTCACAGCAGAACAGCTCTCCCACAGCATGGCGGTGAGTCTTGGGTTGCCACACACGGGAAAAGGAATGAAAATCAGCTCCAGAGGAGGTTTTCTTAAAACACACTGTGCTTCTTGTGTTTAACCTTTGGGTTCAAGATTAGCCATACAGACAAGTTTTGAGGGACAGTCCTGCTCTTAAGAGTTTAAAGCTTATAGTCCTAGGGAAGACGTTCAAGGCTCAGTTGATTACCCTAGCCAAGGAGGGAGGCATCACTAATTTGCAGAATATTGATCCTGGAAGAATGAAGATGCAATATTCCTTTTGGGGAATTATTTATTGCCTTTGTCAGTCTCCCCTGCTGTGATTTGCTAAGGAAAAAGGAAGAAGGATTTTACTGGAGTAAAGTTATTAAGGAAAACAAACCACCTCCTTCCTCTTTGCAGCCTGGCCCAACAGGTCGTCCAACTATGACATGTGGCAAGCCCCAAGGGCTTCCTCCCAGTGGGGACGTGGGGCTTATCTCAGATCAGGTCTGCACATCTTGGCCACTCCTACGCAGTAAAGGTTTTAATTTTTAAAGCTCAGGGTTGAAGCTGAGACAACAGTGGACACTGGTTCCATGAGAGCAGGTATTGTGAGAACCCAAGACTTAGGAAGAACCAGTTCAGCCTGCCCCCAGAGGCGCTGTCAGAACACTGAACTGGAAGGAGGTTTTCAAAGTGGCCTCCAGCACGTTTCTGCATCACATACAGTTCCGTGAAACCAGTTTGTTTAATGCAAATCTCTCTCTGCAGGAATTGAGGAGCCAGAAACAGAAGATTGTCTCAGAAAGGGAGCGAATCCAGGCGGAACTGGATCACTTCCGGAAGTGCCTTGCATTGCCTGCATTGCATTGGCCTAGGGGTTACTTTAAGGGATATCCTAGGTGACGGTTTCCCTTGCACTAGGCCGAACCTATAGTATAGAAATATTATCTATTTTATTACCTTGAATATTTAATATTTTTCACTGGGAGGTTTGAAGCTTAAAAAAAAATAATAAAGAATGTGCCATGCATGAAGCAAAGGATTCCAGACTCCAGAAAAAGAACGAACTCACCTTGACTTCAATGCAACTGAATCACCTTTGTAATTCAGCGAGCAACCGATGTAGGACATCGCCCATATATTTTTTTAAAAGGCAATTTTATTCTTTCTTTCCCCATGTCACCGTTTTAAAATCTGAAAATGAAGGCTCCGTTACCAACACTAAAACTTTTATCATTTATAGCCCCTGGGTGCATAAGATTGGATCAAACTGCTTGTGTTCTATTTCTTGTGTTGCCATATTACTATGCCTGAAGACCCAAGTTTGCTTTTGCTGCAGCAGAGGGTCGGTCTCATGCCTCCCCAGGACTGAGACCTGCTTCAGCTGAATGAAGGTGGGGTGCATTTTAAGTGAAGGGCTTATTTGTTTTGGTTACTTTTCTGCAAAATTTTCTTCAAAGCAACAGTACTAAAAGTCTCACCAATAGCAGGCTTTTCCCTGGAAAAGCTCTCACCTAAAGATAAAGCAAATTGACAAACTGAAGGTACCTTTTTTATTACTCCGTGGGGTGGGGGGGAGTGTACAGAGCTCTATGTATACATATATGCACACCCACCAAATTGTTGCTGCAGTGGGGGGTGTTTTCATACAAACAAATTTTGAGAGAAAAGTCAAAGGTGCTTCAGCCTTGTACTGTGTATATATATTAAAAAACAAAGTTTTGTATGTTTTTATTACTTTAATTATTGTTATAAAAGGCCTGCCATTTTTAATATGTGGTTTTGGGGGATTTTTGTTTGTTTTCCTGTTTTGGGGTTTGTGTTTTGTGTTTTTTTTCTGGGCAAAAAAAAAAGAAACAACAACAAACTTGCTTTTAGTGTTTGTACTGCTGCTGGTCAGGACATTAAATATTGAAGTGTTTTTAAAAATTAAAGAAGAAGAAAAGTAAAAGAGCTTACCACTGGCGCCTATGCGATCACTTCATTTTTGAGTTGCACCAGAAAATGATGTAGAAAGCCATGCGTTACTTCTTACCTCCTTCTCTACCCCCTCCCCCCAGCTCTGGACAGCAAATAGCAGTTATACCTAGTTGCTATCAGTGAGGAGGGACTAGTCTATGGTGAACAAGACATACTGGGTGTGCACCTATGCATGCACCTACAGACATGGGGCTTTTTGCAAAAGAACCTTTCAGGAAGTGAGCAGTTTGTGATAGAATTCTAAGGTGTCTTACAGCAGTCTGAGAACAGGTGCAAAGTAGAAACTCTAGAGGCTTTATTTAGATGCAAAGCTTTGTAAAAGCCTAAAAGTAGGATAAAGGATAAACTATGTCTGAGCTGAACTTCTCCTCCTTTTGAACTGACTGTGACAAGCACAGGAGCAGCTAGAAACAGATAATCAGATCAGTGCAAAGCAATGGGGAAATTTTTCCTTCTTGTCCCAGTTAACTGCTCATTCAGGCAGGGTTTAATCTAGATCAAGCAAGTATCTCTTGCCTGAATGGGCTTGAACCAGAGGCTAAAGCAGCCAGTGGTTGGTCTGCCAGGGGAGAGGGGATGAGAGGAGGTCTGAGTGTGATCACGCCTCCCCTTTACCCAGGGGAAGGGCTGGCTGACCTTCATGAAGGCTACTCACTGTGATCAGTGGCCGCACCCTCAGCCCCAGACCTTAGCTGTGCAGAACAGCTTGCTGGCAGATGGCATTGTGTCGCTTTATCTGTTCCCACACAGTTTGCTTTGTATGTCTGCCAAGAATCTTCCAGTTATTAGCAAACTCAGACAAAAAGTGCCGCCAGTATTATCAGCAGTCAACAAGCGCCTTCCTCTCCACAGAAACGATTTGACGAGATCTAAGGGCTGTTCTGTGGCCTCCCCTGCAAAGACATTGAGAGATCAACATGTTCCACAGGTGGGGACAGGTGTTTAGAGGGAACTCTATTGCCAACAATCAGGGCAAAATGTCACTGAATTTCTCTCTTTAAAATCTGCTTGCTGCTTCTGGTCTGAAAGCTTAAGAGCTACATCTTAGCACTTCACTCCCAGTCCTCCTTCGCCATCACAGAATGTCTGAGTACTAGTAATTTTGCTGATCAGCTTTGGTAATGGCCTTGGCTTAGAAAAAAAATGTAGATCTAATAACTTGATGGGAAAGAAAAGCAGAGCCCCATTCCTCCTCCAGCCCAGGGGAGCTCCCTTGGTGGGGTTTGTTTAGTTGTCAGGGAGGACGTCCCTGAGCTAGTAACAACTGCTTTTCCTTCTTCCCATTGAAAACGCCACTATCACCCTGCACTTGAGCTTCTCTGTCACTCCGCCACACCAAACTCCCACCCATCTCTAGAGATCTCTGAATATTCTTGGGCTTAAGAAGTAATATGACAATCAGAGAATATAAATATACACCAGAAAAGGCAGCATAATAAACTAAGAAAAAGGTAAAGTGTCTTTTGAAAACAAATGCACCACTAAGACATAGTACCCAATAATGGTTTTTCCATCCAATAATTAGTTCTAAAATCTTAAAACACATTTTCATCTCATCTAATTTTTCTTTTCAGTTTGGGCTTAAAAATGGGCAAATATGCGCTCTCTGAAGATTTTGTTCAGCTATTTCACACTGAATTTAAAAGACACAGCTCAGAAGAACACCGAATTTGCTCTAGAATTGATTTTGCAACCTGTGTCAGTCCTCCACGGCCTCATGTGCTTCCTACAGCACCGGCAGGAGACGGCTGTTTTGTTAAACTTGTGAGGGACACCTTCCAAAGCCGAATCCCCAGCTTCGCATTTAATCAAATATTTAGGGACAAACCAGAACGTTCCTCAAAACTTGGATCTACACACCTGATCATTTGAAAATGCATTGGTTCTCTGTTTCATATAATCAGAGCCAAACTGACAATGAAAACATTTCATGATATAATCCATTGTCTAAGATAAATGGCCAAGGTAGGGTTTTCAACAGTTTAGTCTACATTCTAAAGGAAATAAAACACTAAGTTGGCCTTAACATTCTATTAGATAATACCCTTAAGGAAATTCAAAGAATATTCAGCAGTGAAGAATTATAACACAAGAAATCTTATGTTTGTACATGGAACGGTATTTCCTAAAGGCTGCCTAATCTCAAAAATTACATCAAGATACTCCCTTTCCCTCTGAGCCATGTGTTTTTTAAAGTGTAGAAAATTCCAAGGATCCACCACAAGATGGAGATGATCAGCACAAGCCGATTCTGTTACTCTTAAATAAGTGTATATTAGCCATTTAGCAGCAATCCCTATACTCTTTCAAGTAACCAAGCTATTGACTTTCTTACTACTTGCAGTAGCCTGTCCCCAACTTTTGATCCAGCACTTAACTTAAACTCCTTAACTCTGCCTAGACCTGAGGAAGACCATGCTAATTGGTTGTGTTACTTTGTATGTACCCTGTGTTTAATTGCTAGAACAGTAAACCAGTACATGGGAGGGAGGAGGAACAGTGCCTCGGTCACTCTGGGGGCAGTTTAGATGCTGTGAAATTAAACCTGTTCTAAGTGTACTTGTTTGAATTAATTGTATTGTAATATTATTTGTTGAATGTAGTAATTAGGTATTTATGAATATATTGCTGTAATTTCTGACAACATCCAAAAAAAATAAAATCTTCCTAAATCATGTTAAGAGGAAAATCTTTTTTATGCTATAATAAAAAGAGACCAAATTTTTTTTTTTTTTTAATGCTCAACAACTATACAGCTTTACAGGTAAAATGTGAAGACAGATCCAATGTACCTCAGTCAGGTTTTAGGAGAAAGGTATTAGGGGCTGATCTGAGCTACACAGGATTCCTGACCCTTCACAATAAGGTGGCTTCATTCAAGAAGATTCCCCGGATTAAAATCTGAAGGACTCCGAGTAAAAGTGACAAGAAAAGGCAAGTCCTGTCATATGAAAGCGGTCCTCTAAGCCAGCGTTGCCAACCTTCCAGACCTCACAGACCACCGGTTGTCAACCACTGCTCTTAACAGTCACCTTAACTGATAAAAACAAGTCTTCTGTATCCTAATCCCTCTGTGCCTGGCCCTTCAGTGTTCAAACAACCATCAGCTGCTTGTTGGAGGGACATCTAGATGGATAGCAAGTGGAATGGAGAAACCTGAAGTAAGTTTGGACTTTAAACACTGAAGAGCAGATACCAGCAGGTCTCTTCCAGGCTCAGCTGATCACATACACTCTTCAAAAAGCCCTTGAGATAGCATGTGACAGTCGAAAACCACCAGGTTACAGAAACTGCCACTCACTGTATGATTCTAGACCAGCGATTTTCAACCAGTGTGCCACAAGCATTTTTTTAAACATGGAATACCTGACTATTTAGTCAGGGGCACTGACCTCTTTTCCCTTAGATTGTCAAATAAAAAATGGCAGTAGCCAACACAATAGCTGTCAACAGTGTGAATGAATCAAAATTACACCTATTCTTTTTGGTCAGATTGGCAAAAGATAGTTTTTTTTTTGGTGTGCCGTAGAATTTTAGTAATTATGTGTTTATGTGTGCCATGAAATGAAAAGGGTTGAAAATTGCTGCTCTAGACAATCTTTTCCCCTTTCAGGGCAATAAAATTTCTATGAGCAATTTAGCAATTCCAAAACGCTATATTTGAATTTTTTTCTCTTAGAATTTACCCTTCTTTGAGCCACTGCTACCTATGACCATCTTACCCTAAAACCCATCAAGAGCAGTGTTATAGGTCCAACTTTTCTTAGCACTGTGCTTCACTCACATACTCAAATAACATGGTTAGTTTTAAAAGCAACCCTTTAAACTGTAACCAGAAGTAGCAAAGATAACAAGAGACAACCAGAGTGTTTGAAGTTTACAACCTGCTACACACCTCAGTTTGGTCTATCATTATCATTTTAGCCACATGGCTTAAGCAGGAAAAAATAAACCCAACAGATTGGGTTGATGCCATCTTTATTCTGTATCAGGGGTGGGGAACATCTAGCCTGTGGGCCTTATAAGGCACTCAAAATCATTTGGTCTGGCCCTACCAAGGCATTAGGGGTGTTAATTAAAATGTTTGACCAAATATAGCAGGCTGATTTTTAAGTTGATAATTTTGTATGGCCTGCAGATGATGTTATAAATATTCAAACGGCCCTTGGCAGAAAAAAGGTTTCCCACCCCTGGCTGAGATCAACCCCAGTCGGCATCACAAGCCACCATCTGCCATCCTCCTCTATGTGAGCAATCTCTAGATTTAAATTCAGCCAAAAAGATCCATATCAAAACAACAAAGTCCTAGGGCCACATCACCATTTGTATCTCTGATTTTTCAAAGCAACATGAACATCACTGAACACTCACCCACACGTAACAGTTCCGTGCAGGAGACCTGAGACCGTGCTAGGGAGAATGGCTTGTTTGCTGAAGCTTTTTCTTTCCTCCATAAAGGAGCAGTTGGCCTCTAGAGACAGATGTGGAATTAATGAATATCTTAAGAACTAAGCATAACCTGTTGCTTTCCAACAATGTTATGAATCCATTCCTTGCTTCATTGCACGTTTTTCTTACATTCAAATGGTTCTAGAAACCCAGCACTGAGTACCTCTGTCATGTCCTGAGCACTCACACATTACCCGGGAAGCCTCATGCCAGCAGACACAAGGCCTTTACAAATCAAAGGTCATTCTCTAGAAGTCCTGAGACTGGGCACTTTCAGAAGGTTGCAGGTTTGTACGGAGTTTGTACATGTGATTGAGAGCTTGTGTGAGGAATGCCCCGCTGGTGTTGATCTCCATCAAGGTCAAATTATCCAGCTAAAACAAGAGAAAACAGGGTTGGTTGAGAAGTTTGATTGAGAAAAAGTAAAAAATCTACTGAACAAAAATAAGAAACCAATAATTTTTAAAAGCACAGCCAGTAATTCTGCTTGTGATAGCCTAAGCAGGCAGAACGCTGCAGGAAATCCCTCAGCAGCACACCTACCTTCGCATGTGCCTCCTGCTGCCTCACAAAGCTGTCAGCAGACACCCGGAGCTTGGCTATGCGAGTGTCCCACACATCCTTGATCAGGGTGCGGATCTCATCTGCTTTTGGAATGTTGTCTGAAGCACTAAAGGAAACAAATTGCATAAGGAAGCACTCAGTAAACTAAAGCAATATCCAGCTAAAAGTGGCTTTAAAAAGAAAAAGGTTGCTTGGATTCAGGTAAAATATACACACTGTCCTAGACTCAGATTTTGTTTTGCTTTATTTTCAATTTTAAAATGTAAGGATTTCTAGCAGTTAAGCTTGGTGCCAAGAAAATTCAGCCATGATCCACAGTTATGCTCATGTAACCTGTCCCCTGGCGGGCAGTGGCACAAGGACTTCTGTTCCGTAAAATAATAAATAAGAGAATAAGCTCTACGTTGGACATCCTGTGTCTCAGGATAATTGAGTGCTCTGTGCTATAGAATTTCCATCTAGAATGAATTTGTTTCAAGGCTGGTTCAGAGGTCATGACTTCTATTGCTCATACCTCATCGGTTACCCAAGGGCTTACAACCCACCAGGCAAAGACAGCAGCTCTATGCCTGCCATGTGCTCAGCACTACACAATATTTCTATCCTCGCAAAAGTCCTGAAAAGTAGACATTGGCCTACTCTACAGAGAAAACAAAAATACATTTACAAAAATCACAGAAGAAATTGCAAATTAGCATAACCTGAGCACATTTTACATAAGGAATTCTGGGTAAAAGTTTGAATTGGAGTCAGAGAGAGATGGTCAGTCTTCCTGTGTGAGATTTTTTAAACTAATCTTTGAAGGAAAAGACAAACTAGAAGATAAAAGCAGAAGCTCACATCATCATCACCAGGCATTCTAGGATAAGCTGGAAATGACCTCTTCAAATGCTAAAATTAGCTCAAGATTAGTAGATGGATAATCAGTGGTAGAAAGTTTATGTAGTGGATTTTACTTAAAGCCCAAACATCTGGATCCTTTGCTCTGAACAGCAGTAAAGAACAAAGAACCCAGCTCCTTGAACTGCAGAACAAAGGTACAATTAAGTCCCTCAGCCAAATGAATTCTAAATAATTCTAAGACAAGAGTTTCAATAAGAACTGCATACATAATATACTGAACGGGGGCCTCTGCTTCCCGATTCTCCACTCCGAGTCACTCTCCCCACTGCCACAGCAGGCTTTCTCAGATTCATAGGTGGCACTCCTTCCTGAACACCCTCCTGGGGCCCTCCAACAGAAAAGCCTCAGCTCTCCCACCCCATACAGTCTGCATGTGTCCCAACAGCTGTTTCCCAAACACACCATGTCCTTTCACACCTCTGCCTTCTCCCCCAGTAGATTTTCACTGATCTTTCCAGCCCAAGATCCCTTCTCTGATACCACCAGGCATTAGGGTTGCATCCCAACATACTCTGAACGGCATTTATCACACTGCAGTGTAACCACTGGGCAACAGGGTCACATCTCTCCCCCACTAAACCAGGAACTCAAGCCTATTATCACTATCTAGTTAATGCTTAGTAAGCTGTGCACTGCAGCCTCATATGAACTGAAGGACCAAGTCTGTGTTATGTACCTTGAATTTTCATTTGCATCCAAAAATAGAGCTTACTCTACAGCTCCCCAAGTTTTGTTCTAGTTCTACTCTTGAATCCATCAATTAAAAGGCATCAAAAGCTGGACACTTTGAAAATTACATTCTAAGTATGTCCCAAGCAAAATGACCCACTTTCCTGCCTCCTCCACTGATTCCCTCTCTCCCTCCCTTCCACAAACATGTGAGCACCAGGCATTGTGCTAATACACAGAAGACATAGTCCCTGCTCATTAGAACTGGGGGTGAGGGGAAGAGCATAGCCAGACAAGGGATTAGAAAATTTTAACTGACAAATGCTATGGAGGTGTACAGAGATGCCAAGATGACATGTAGGACAGGAAGGGAGTACATGTTAGTCTAAACCAAAGGAGGGAGCAGGGAACAGATGGACTTACTAGCAGAGGGTACAGTATATGCAAAGCCCTGAGGTGAGGACCTTGGTATGTATAAAGAAGTAAAAGAAGTCAAAGTGAGCTGGAATTTAGAGTCAGCGGGGAGAACTGTAAGAGAGTTATGAGAGAAGGAAGAAAACCAGCCTATGCAGTGCTTTGAACACCATGATTAGGACTTTAGACTAAACCCTGGAAAGGCTCCAAGGAGTAGGGGAATCATATGGCAGCTTCGCCTTTATTTTTTTTAAAATATATTTTATTGATTTTTTACAGAGAGGAAGGGAGAAGGATAGAGAGCTAGAAACATCAATGAGAGAGAAACATCGATCAGCTGCCTCCTGCACACCCCCTACTGGGGATGTGCCCGCAACCAAGGTGCATGCCCCTGACCAGAATTGAACCTGGGACCCTTGAGTCCACAGGCCAATGCTCTATCCACTGAGCCAAACCGGTCAGGGCTGGCAGCTTCACCTTTAAAGGGCCATTCTGGCTGCAATGTGGAGAGTGAATTAGGAGCTGATGTGGAACCAGAATTGGATGTAGGGAAACAATTTACTACAGCACATTTCTGCCACTAGTGGGCTTTTCTTATAGTTCAGGATCAGAGGCAAATGTGAGTCCTCTGGCCATTCATGTGACAGACATGCAAGAACTCAAATGCACATAACCAAAGAATAAAAAGGGGTAAAGCTCTAGTAATAAAACATATTTATAGTTAAGATAAAGGCTACTGCTGGAAATGATGGAGGCTCATACTGGGTTCAAATGTCAAGTGATAATTCTATATAATAAAAGCCTAATATGCTAAGTGTCCGACTGTTCACTCGACTCTTTGATCAATCGCTATGATGCACACTGACCACCAGGGGGCAGATGCTCCAACCAGGTTAGCTTGCTGCTGGGGTCTGGCGGATCAGGACTGGGCCAGACAGGCCAGACACGCCCTGGAGCCCTCCCGTGGTCCCTCCCTGGCCCCAATCGTGCACCGGTGGGGTCCCTTGGCCTGGCCTGCGCCCTCTCGCAATCCAGGACCATTCGGGGGATGTCAGAGAGCCAGTTTTGGCCCAATCCCCACAGGCCATGCCGAGGGACCCACCAGTGCATGAATTTGTGCACCGGGCCTATAGTTAAGAGATAAAATGAAAAGAACCAAGGGATTTACTAGGAGAGGGAAGGGTGGAGAAAAGGAAAAATGAGGAAGGGAGAGACTTCAGGCAGTGTGAATGGACTCCCAGATTACTGACCTGAGGAACTAAGTGGACAGGAATACCACTTACCTTGGTAATGAGAGTGAAATAAAAAAGGAAAGGCATGGATTAAGGGATGAGAACCATGAACACGTGGGCTCTCAGTGAGATTACTTACTGATTTAACAGGAGTTTGGTCAGTTCCATGTAGTAAGGGCTAGGCATAGGGGTAAAAGTTTCTTCCATTCGTTCATGATCCCTAATCTTCTCCAACTTTTCTGAAATTTAGAAATAAATACATTTTACCATCACCATAACCAAAATGTTTTTTTAAAACCAAATTTACCAACTGCCTATATTACCTATTCGATCAACTGACAAATACATTAAAAACAGTTTTGGACCCTGCCAGTGTGGCTCAGTGGTTGAGTGTCGACCTAAGAACCAGGAATCATGTTTCAATTACCAGTCAGGGCACATGCCGGGGTTGCGGATTGAGTCCCCGGTGGAGGGCGTGCAGGAGATGGCCAATCAATGATTCTGATCATTAATGTTTCTCTCTCTGACTTAATAGCCTGAGAAAACCTCCAGTCCTAAATCTGAACTGCCCACTGTACCTAAACGGTTCTCAACCTGTGGGTCGCGAACAATGAAAATATATCCTGCATATAGATATTTACATTACAATTCATAACAGTAGCAAAATTATAGTTATGAAGTAGCAACGAAAATAATTTTATGGTTGGGGGTCACCACAACATGAGGAACTGTATTAAAGGGTCGCGGCGTTAGGAAGGTTGAGAACCACTGTATGTAGGCCCTAAGGGATACACACAGACACGACTATGCTGTGGAGTCTCACTTTAAAGGACTGACCACCCATCTCCAAGGGGCCCTTGGTATTATCTTGCAATCCTATGAAACTTCCCTGGTCCATTCACCCTCTCACTTTTGATCATGCCCACCCTCTTCATGCCTTCTCTCCTTCCTCATCTCACTGCCCCAGCTCTCAGCCACTGCCTTGCTGAGTGCCCGCATGCTCCTGTCACCGCATCTTCCTAACTTCCCTGTGTCTGTCCCCCTACACAAGAGCCAGCCTTCCAAGGATGCACTGGACCCTCCTCTCACCTGCACAGAACACCACTCCAGGATGGGTCTCTCACTCTTGAATGATCATGGTTTCTCCTCACTATGTGACATTCCATCAAACATGCTGCAACATCTCCCATCTTAAAAAGAAAACCTGCCCTAACCAGTTTGGCTCAGTGAATAGAGCGTCGGCCTGCGGACTGAGGGGTCCCGGGTTCGATTCTGGTCAGGGGCATGTACCTTGGTCGCGGGCACATCCCTAGTGGGGGGTGTGCAGGAGGCAGCTGATCGATGTTTCTCTCACATCAATGTTTCTCTCTATCCCATTCCCTTCCTCTCTGTAAAAAATCAATAAAATATATTTTAAAAAAAAGAAAACCTGCCCTGGCCAGTGTGACTCGGTTGGTTGAGTGTCATCCCATGCACCAAGAAGTCACAGGTTCGATTCCCAGTTGGGGAACATGCCAGGGTTGTGGATTCGATCCCTAGTAGGTGCCATGCAGGAGGCAGCTGATCAGTGTTTCTTTCCCTCTCCCTTCCTCTTTGAAATCAATAAAAACATGTGTATTTTTTAAAAAAAGAAAAAGAAAACCCTCGCCTGACACCAAATCTTTCCCCAGCTACCAATCCATTTATCATGCCCTTTACACAAAACTTTGAGTTGTCTGACATTGGCATTAACTTCCCCTCCTCAACCACTCAGATGTGTGTCTATCCTACCCCTCCACCAACATAGTCCACCAAGGCCCACATCCTCCACTGGGCCAAACCCAAGGGCTATGTCTCAGCCTCCACATCTGACGAGGATCAATCCTCTCCCTTGGAGTGTATTAATTTAGCTTCTGGAACACCAGAGTTCTCATCTCATCAATTCTTTCTGGCCTTCCTGACCTCTCAACACTGTGGTGCAGGGCTCACCTAAACCCACGTCCCATATGATCTCTTCCTGCCTCATTTAAATACCATCTATGTGCTCATAATGACAAATTCACATCCCCAGATCAGTCCCTCCTCTGAATTCCTGACTCAAATACCCCACTGCCCGTATTATTTCCACGTGGATTTCTATCAGGCACCTCCAGTGTAAAATGTTCAAACTTCACTCCTAGGGTTCACTTTAGCCCACACACTGCTCCTGCAGTCTTCCCCATCTAAGAAAACAACTCCATTTCCTTCCGGAGCTCAAGCCAACAACCCTGGTGCTAATCTTTAATTAACTCTTCTCTCTCATACCCCTCTGCCAGTCCTTCAGCAATCCTGCTGATTCTTCCTTCAAACTATGCCTAAACTCCAACCACCCTGCCCACCTCAATCAGCTGCTCCAGCCACTCCCAGCTCTAGCCTGGGTAACCCTCTACTGCTCTCTCCCCACACACTTATTCTTTGCACAGAATATTCACTCTTTTCTTTTTTTAAATCTAAACCAGAGTATGAAACACCTCTGTTCAAACCCTGCAATTCCAATGTTGGCCAGGGTATGGAACACTGGAAACTCTTGGACAGTCCTGGTGGGGTTATAATAATGGCTCAACCCCTGTGGAGCACCGGCAGTTTCTTACCAAGCTAAGCACAGTCTGTCCATGACCCTGAAATTCCACCCCTCTAGGTATTTACTTACCCAAGAGAAATAAAAACATATCCACAAAAAGACTTGGACAAGATTAGTCATAGCAGCCATATTCACAATGGCCAAAAATGGGAAGTAACCCAACTACCCACCATCAGAATGGGTGAACATACTGTGGCATACTCACACAATGGAAAACCACTCAGCAATAAAAGAATGTAATGGCACATGCAACAGCGGTGAATCTCAAAAACATTATACTGATAAGAAGTCAGAGACCAAAACTGACATACTAGATGATACCATTTACATGAAGTCCAAGAACAGGTGGAACCACGTGGTGGGAGAATCAGAAAGCAGTTGGTTCCTGGGCAGTGTCGACTATAACGTTTCACTCCTCCCACCACATACGGCCCAGGACTAGGACTAGGAAGCAGCTTGGGCTGGGGCTTACGTGGGCCAAAGCTGCCAGAGCTGATGTTAAATGAGAAGCTTTCAGGGGATGCAGCCCTAACAGAGCCAGGCCTGCTGGGACTAAAAAAGCCCTTCAAAGCAGAAGGAATTGGGGTTTTCCACGATGTTTCAGGACCACCAGGGCCACTCACCCCTTAGGACAGGGAGTGAGGCGGAAATGCCCAGTCTTTCTTAACTGCATGTGAGAGTTTGGCTGAACGTGTCCTTGCTTCTAGGAGGCAGGTATCCCCAAGTGATTCCCAAGGGGAGGGGGCGATCAAAATCACGCATGGCTTTTCAAATTCTACAGGCATGCCTATGACCACCACCACCACCCCAATAAAATTACGATTATTTGCGATAATGAGCCACTCACATCTTTGAGATGGGGAAAAGCCGCAAAGGATAAAGTCAGGGTCAAGTCGGCCTGCATCTTCGATGCATTATTTTCTTTTCCCTAACAACTTTATTGAGGCATAATTAACGTACTACACAATTTACCCACTTAAAGTATACAATTCAATGGTTTTTAGTATATTCAGAGCTGGGCAACATTTTCATTGCCCCAAAAAGGACCCCCCCACAATCCCTCCATCTCCTCCATACCCCTATCCCTAGGTAAGTACTAATTTATTTTGTCTCTGTGGATTCGCCTGTTCTGGACAGTTCATATAAATGGAATGTTACAAATAGGGTCTTTGTGTGTTCTTTTCAGAGAGCATAAGATTTTCAAGGTTCATTCACATTCCTTTATATGGCTGAATAATATTCCCTTGTAGGGATTATTTTCATGCATTTTCTATAATGTAAGATTAACAACTTTGCTCAACATGTCAGTCTATAATAATAAAAGTATAATATGCTAATTAGACAGGACATCCTTCCGGACGTCCTTCCAGGCGACCTTCCTAACGGCAGCCCGGGGAAAGACCTACTCTTGCACGAATTTCGTGCATCGGGCCTCTACTACATATATATTTAAATTAAAATGTTTATTTTAAAGCCTTATAATACTTTTAAATTTTAAAGCAAGGTGAAATAGCTTTAAACACAAAATCTGAACTAAAAGCGATTTACACACCCCAAAATGACAGGGCCCTGGTAACAGCGGTCAGCTGACTCTAAGGCGTGAACCTGGAGCCATTGGTTTCAGCTGGTCAGTGGGTCATGGCGTCATTGCGGAACCCGGGCACCCGCGTCCTTACCCACATCCATCCACTCCGGGGGAAGCAGCCGGCACTTCTGTCTTTGCTTCAGGTTAATCGCCAGCCACAGAGGCACTTGCACCGGCAGGCCAGGGTTAAAGGGCCCCAGGTCCCCCTGCCGGAGGAAGCAAACCCCGGTAAGGCGAGGCAGAGCTCAGGCATTCCCAGACCTCCAGACACAAACGCACGCCCGGTGGTCACGCGGCGCGGGAGGCAGCCCACGTCCGCCCTCGCGCGGTGGGGCTGCCGCACCTGGCGGCCCACCTGAGCCTGGTTCCCGAGGCGCCGCGGGGAGGCCGCCCAGGAACACCTGGGAGGCGCGGGCGACCTCCAGGGGCTCCCCCGCCCACGTCTCCCGGCTCCGAACCTCGCCCCAACCCCGTCCACGCAGGGCCCGCGGGCTGGACGCGCCGAGTCCGCCGCCTGGCTTCCCACCCGAGACGTGGGAGCAGAGCAGGGCGAGTCGCCGTCCGCAGACGCCAGTTCCTGAGGCAAATGCCCGGCGCACCCTTACCCCGATGAGGTAGATCTTGTCCAGACTGAAGTTCGGGATAATGGTCACCAACTCCTTCTCCGCCAGAAACTCCACCTCGGCCGCGTCCATAGCGGAGCAAGCCACCACCCCTCAGCGTCCCTTAAGTGCCGGGGCGCCGCTTTCCCGCCACCGCGCGGAGCCCGCCCCCCGGCCGGAAGAAGCCGTAGCCGACCAATAGCAACTCGGCGCTCTCCGCGGGCGGCGGGAGGCGGAGAGCGCGGCTGCTACGAGCCCGCGGATTGGCGAGCTTGAACGAGGCTAAGCGCTCATCCCGCCCCTCTTGTGTCCCGGCTCCGGCCCCGCCCCCTCGCTCACAGGCATGGCCACGCCTACCCCCTAGGGCGGCCACGCCCTCTCCGGGTCCCAGACCCTACTCCCACCTGGTGCGTGCTTGCCTGCCTTTCAGCGTCTAGAGCACCACGCTCCTGTGTTCCTTCACCCGCCCTGGGCGCCTACCCGCCTTACTCCTGGGTCACAGCATTACCTGAAACAGCCCGACCCCATGAGAGTGAGGGAAGGCGTTTCCTTTCATTTCACAATCTTCTGACCTCTGTATACACATTGGTTAAAAATCTTTAAAAATGTAGATTCCCCCCCCACCCCAATCTTCCAATTCAGAAACTGCGGGGAAAGGGCTCCGAATCTGCACGTTGGCAAGCAACCCAGGTGAAGCTTATGAAGGGGCAAGTTTGCAGGCTGCAGCAAATATGTATTGATGTGCTCATCTGTTTGTTGAACAGGTGCCCTCTATACAGTGGGCTTGTGTGAAACTTAATAGCACTGGTCCTCAATCTCCCCATGTGTCAGAATCCCCTAGGGCCGTGGTCTGCAAACTGCAGCTCCCGAGCCCCATGCGGCTCTTTGGCCCCTTGAGTGTGACTCTTCCTAAGCCTTAGGAGTACCCTAATTAAGTTAATAACAATGTACCTACCTATATAGTTTAAGTTTAAAAAATGTGGCTCTCAAAAGAAATTTCAATCGTTGTACTGTTGATATTTGGCTCTGTTGACTAATGAGTTTGCTGACCACTGCCCTAGGGCCTAGACCAGTGGTTCTCAACCTTCCTAATGCCGCGACCCCCAATACAGTTCCTCATGTTGTGGTGACCCCCAATTTCATTGTTACAAATTGAACATAATTAAAGCATAGTGATTAATCACAAAAACAATATGTAATTATATATGTGTTTTCCAATGGTCTTAGGCGACCCCTGTGAAAGGGTCGTTCGACCCCCAAAGGGGTCGAGACCCACAGGTTGAGAACCGCTGCCCTAGAAGATTCTGAGTTAATATACACACTCCTGGAGAATTGTGTTTCAGAGGTTGGATGGGACCAGAAAGTTGAATTTTAACCAGAGCCAAGGGAATTCTGATGGGATTCTAATAGGCCAGGAAAGCTTCCAGGGAGGTAGGGGAGCCAGTGCAGGACTGGTGGGGACAGGCAGTGGGCTGGATTTGAATTTGAAATCCTGCTCATTAGGCCCTGAGAAAAAGCATAGGGGACAGGAGTATTCCAGGGTTCTGTATCCTGGCAGAAAAGCTATGTCACTCCAGATAACCCCATGCTTTACTCTCTAAGCCCCCTGAAACCGCCCCATTTAGGGTTGCTGGGAAGATGAAATAAGACTATATTAAGTTCTGCCCACTCACATGGCATGGAACACTATGTCTGCTGTTTATCTGCAAGGGAAATTGTCATTTGCAGACTTGGAGATTACTGTCATTGTGTGTCATGTATTCAGACAAACTTTCAAAGAAAATAAATGAAAGAGCCTCTGGATGCTATGTGACCCAGGGCAAGCGACCATTCTGACCTCAGTGTCCTCATCTGCAAAAGAGGTAGGAAGAGGAGGAGCCTGGAGTGTTTAGGGAGGGGGAGAAGCTTTGGGCCACCTGGCCCCTCCTGAAATAGAAGCTCCTTCAGACATCTGCAGAGAGTGTGTGCCAACTTGTCTGGGAATTGATTGATGGGAGAATGTTTTCTTCACTGGCAAATATTTGTGTTCCAAAGTTGGCGAGGCTTCCCTGCAGGCTTTTTGCAGCCTGTAAAAGAGCAAAGGAAAAGAGCTGGTGGGAAAGCCGAGGTTCAGAGAGGCCACAGCAGGGTGAGTAGGAGAGCAAGCAGAGCCCAGTGTCCACATCACCTGAGTCCTGGTGTCCTTGTCTGTAATGTGGTGGCAGTGCTGCTGCTGACCCCACTGGGATGCTGGGGGAACAGGAGACAGTGTGCAGCATTGCACACTGCAAAATGGTGTCTTAGAGTCTCAAACTTGAGTGTACATCAGGGTCCCTTGGAAGACTTGTTAAATGACTTTCCTTTCATAGCAGCATGATTTGCAACAGCCCAAAGGTGGAAATGACCCAAATGTCCATCAACTGAGGGATGGATAAACAAAATATGGTCTATCCATGCTGTGGAATGTTATTTAGCCATAAACGGGAATGAAGCACTGAGCCTGCTACAATGTGGGTGAGCCTTGAAAACATTATACCAAGTGAAAGAGGTCAATCACCAAAACCATGTATGATTCCACGTATATGAACTGTCTAGAGCAGGCAAATCTGCAGAGACAGAAAGGAAATGAGTGGTTGCCAGGGCCGGGGGAGAGAGAAATGGGAGTGACTGTTAATGGGGATGGGGTTTCTTTTTGGGGTGGTGGAAATGTCCTGGAATTAGATAGTGGTGGTGGTTGCACACTCTATAAATATACTAAAAACCACGGAATTGTACACTTTAAAAGGGTGAATTATTCCTCAACAAAGCTGTATTTACAATGCCCTTCCCTGAGCTCCAGGCTCAGACTTTCTCACTCAGAAACCACACACTTAACATGCTCCCCAGGAGGTGTTTATAGTGGGGAAACCTGGGGAGGGTAGCAGCTGCTCCAATCCAGCCCAGCTCTGAGCCATTCCCAGGATCCAGCCTCATGCCTGGCTCTTAAAGTAGGAGCGGCGGGGGGGCGGCGGGGGGGTACTGAGACGCAAACAGACAAGAGGAAAACAAGGGAGGGGAGAATGATGGAAGTGGGGTTGCTACTTGAGGGGGGGGGACAGGCCCTCATACCATTATTTCCTGCTGTAAGAACTGCCTCCCCTGCAGGGCTAGAATGCCCCATGTGGTAATGAATTAAGAGTTGGAGATAAAATTAATGGGGTGAAGGGACAAATCCTTCATGCCAAAAAATTTCAGATGATGTATATAGATGCCCAGCCTTCAAGAAGGTGGAGCATTGCCAGCCGGCGTGGCTCAGTTGACCTACGAACCAGGAGGTCACAGTTCAATTGCTGATCAGGGCACATGCCCGGGTTGTGGGCTGGTCGTCAGTGGGGAGCATATGGGAGGCAGCCTATCAATGATTCTTTCTCATCATTGATGTTTCTATCTCTCTCTGAAATCAATACAAATATATTTAGGGGGGGAAACGTGGAGCATAACACCCCACTCCTAAAGTGTGGGCTGCCCAGAGCAACTTCCTTCCAAAGAGAACAGGATGGAAACAGGGGAAAACAGAGTAACTTGACAGTGAAGAAACCTAATCAACATGACCTTAGCCAGGTCATCAAGGTCAACAGCAGTGATAAGCCAAGGTCACAGCATTCACCCTTGATATCATGGATGAAGAGGGCACTTTACCTCCCAAACCTACAACCGCAGTCTGATCCTGAGAAAAACACCAGACAAATCCCAATTGAGGGATTTTCTACAAAACGCCTGTCCAGCACTTCTCAAAAGTGTCAAGGTCGCCCTGGCCGGGTAGCTCAGTTGGTTGGAGCATCATCCTGATACTCCAAGGTTGTGGGTTTGATTCCGGGTCAGGGCACATACAAGAGTCAACCAAAGGATGCATAAACATGTGGAAAAAGAAATCGATGTTTTTTTTTCTCTCTCTCTTTCTCTCAAAAAAAACAAAAACCGGTCAAGGTCATCCAAAACAAGGAGAGTCAAAAACTGTCACGGCCCAGAGGAGCCTAAGAATTCATGACGACTCAGTGTCATGTGGGATCCTGGATGAGATCCCAGAGCAAAAAAAAAGACATTAGGGGAAAACTGAGGAAATGGGAAGCAAGTATGGACTTTAATTAATAATAATGTATAAAAATTGGTTCCCTAATTGTGACAAATGTACCAGAGCAGCATACGATTAACACTGGGTGGGCAGTATACGGGAACCTGCTGTACTATCTTGGCAACTTTTTTGTAACTCTAAAGCTTTCCTTACCAAGAATAAGTTTATTTTCAAAAGCCTTCCCAGGCTCCCCTGGAAACCTAATATGCCCCCCAAAATGTGAACCTGTTGCCCTCTTCAGGGTAGTTGGCTGCATAACTACTTTTGGTCACACAGAACAGTGCTCCGAAGTGAGCCAGCAACGCGGACTTCCGATGTGCAGGCAGTGGGGCTTCCTGCAATGATGAAATACTCAGTTTCTTTCCAGCCAGTAGACTTGGCCGCACGTGGAAATGGAGCATTTGCAATAGGACTGATGGGGGACCGGGGTCCTCTGAAGGGTCATTTCCTCCTGCGTTTGACGTTGGGCCAGCAGCCCCCGATGCATCCCCACAGAAAACGATGAATGGCAGTGAAGAATCGAGGAGGTGGGTGAGAAGCTCCACAGACTCTCAGCCCTGCCTGTGCAAGAGACTCATCCACCCGATGCTGGGCCACCCCTGGACCCGAGGAGTCAGAACCCCTGAAGTGGGGCTCAGGCCTGGGCGGAGAGCCACTGCTCTGATAAACTGAGTCCAGCCTCTCTCCTGTGGTGGTGGTGGGGGAGGGGGTGGCCTCAGGGAAAGCACTGACTTGCAGCTAGTGGTGTCACCCATCTAAGAAGCTGCTTGAATTACAGTGTGGGCAGCCGGAGAGAAATGCAGAATGCAAAACACCTCCTGGGTGACCTCCTTGCCTGGCCTCAGCTGGAATATGCCAGCAGTGTGGTTCAGAGCAGGGCTCTGCTAACAGGACATGAATGCCTCCCTAACTCCCGCCCCCCTCCCCCCGCCCCCCAAGGGCTCCAAGGGGCCAGGAGCCACAGCTCCCGCTGACTTGAGCCCCTGCCTGAGTCTAGTCTCTAATGTGGAGGTGATAACGTGGCCTCTGGCAGGACTGACCTTGGTGGCTCCGATGGGTTTGGGCTGTACCTATTCTGAATGTCATCACCCCCTAGAGCCCATTCGGTTCTCAGCTGTGCCAACATGGCAGGTAGTGGCTCCTACTCTCAGCAGGAGCTGTTTCTTTTTAATTTTTCTTCATTGATGAGAGAGAGAGAGAGACATCAATTTGTTGTTCCACTTAGTTATGCATTCATTGGTTGATTCTTGTATGTGCCCTGACCGGGGATCGAACCCACAAGATTGGCATATGGGGAGGACACACTAACCAACTGAGCTACCCGGCCAGGGCAGGAGAGCTTTCTTTTGCTCATGGCTGCCCCAGGAGGCATTATCATCCCCATTGAGTATGGTGAGAAATGAAGCAAGAAAGACATGCAGTGGCCAGCTCTCTAGGGCCTGCTTTGTAAACCTCTCTCTTCTCTCTCTCTCTCTCTCTCCCTCTCTCTCTCATTTAAAGTCTCCACTTAATTGGCTTATTTGCTGTTAATAAATTGACAACACAAGGAGGGGCCAAGAGTGTGCTCGCAGGCCGGCTCCTGTGTGTCTGGGAGGACGCCTGCCCCTTTTGGGTTGCAGGTGGGGGAGTGACATGAATAGCTCTGCACTCAGAAATACAACAGTCCAGCAGCAGGAGACTCACCTTAGATGGGAGGTTGTGAGAAGTCCAGGTGAGCAGTGGCGATGACCTGAGCTAGGACAGCGGCATGGGGACCATCAGGAGGGGTTGTCTGAAACCGGAGACCGGCGACTGCCTTCCTGTGTCTAGGAAAGCCAGGTTCGGGATGCTGCTGGGCCCCACCCAGGTGGCCACAGGTATCTCCCCATCTATCTGTGGCCCCACACAGCCTGGCAGCACACCTGCCCCTCCCTGGAGGGCCTGCAGGCTCCTCGCTGCAGCTCACCGGCCTCCGGGGTTTGGCGGGGGAGCCATCATGCCAGCCGCATGGTGCACATCACGGCTGAGCCGGGTGCTCTCATGTGGCTCCGACATGGTGCGAACACACTCTTGTGTCTTTTTGCCATCTGCTGCTGTCATTAAAAAATTACATTTCCATCTGTTTTCACACTTTTGTCCCCTCCCAGCCTTCCCTCCTGCAAGCATATAGCGCGGATCCCACGTCTCAGATCGGACATGGCTGGCCTCCTGGAAACTGGGAGCATCTCTGGGACACACCAGGGTGAGGGGTGATGGGCTTTGTCAGCGGCCAGAGCTGCTAACGTCCATCCGTCCGTCCGTTTCCTCTTTAGTTGCCATTTACTGCAGCCCCTGCTCCACTACTCCCCCCCACACTTTTGGGGGGAACCATTTACAAAACGTTTTATTGTTGGATTTAATCAGTATGTGCAGCTTTGGCATTAAAAATAAATGAAAAATAAGCTGCAGACATTAGTAACCATCCCCCCAGGATGTATTAAAATGGAGGAACTGACTCAGGAAATAATCAAAGAGCCATGTTTTGAGGTCAAGATAAATCGTCTTTCTAGACCAGCCCCACAGAGGCCCCCACCCCCCAGCCAGACGGCACCCTGACCTTTAATGAAGGGTCAAGTTCGCGTAGAACACAACGACCCCCCAGGTTGGTGGCTCCGGTGGGCCTGGTGGATCTTCTCAAGCACAGCCTTGCGAACACCAGCGTTACTGCCAACATTCTAGAGGCCCCTGTGAAACAGCCAGGCCCCGTGTCCTGTCAGCCTCAGGCTGGCCTCCCGCCTGGTCTTCCTCCTGTTGCCATGGGCACTAAAAGCCTGGATGAAGCGGTGATTAGCCACGGCAGGTTGCTGAGGGGGCTGGAGGCCTCTGAGCAGGGTCCAGGGAGATGTGGAAGGAGCCAGGTTAGAGTGAGCACCCAGCCCCAGCCCTGAGGCCCAGCATCCCCCTGGGTTCCAGAGGGAAGAGGACGGGGCCACAGGTCATGAGCAGAAGCTGTGAGCACGCTTGCCTGGCCCGGCGCATGCTGCACGGGAACGTACTCTGGTAGCTGCTGGCCACAAAGTGAGGAGACACATGAAGCAGATTTGAACCCAACTAGAGCCTGACAAAGCCCAACGCCCGGCAGCCACTCAGCAGGGCCCTGGGCCGGCCAGAGACCGGAGAGTGAGAGGTCACTGCTTGTTCCAAGCCACTGAGTGTGGAGGGTGGGGTGCCTTAGCCCCTTGGGCGGCCATAACAGAATACCACAGACTGGGTGGCTCACAAACAACAGAAACTGTTTCCAGTTCCGGAGGCTGGAAGTCCAAGATCCAGGCACCAGCAGATGTGGTGTCTGGTGAGGGACCGCTTCCTGGTTCAGAGTTGGCCATGTCTTCACGTGTTTGTGGGGGACACACACACTCAGTCTATAGCAGGGGTGGGCTGCTTAGTCCACAGCAAAAAGAAATCGAACACACAGCGTCACAGGTTCATGAGTTAAATACACATAAAGTGCTTGGAACAGGCCTGCACACAGCAAGCAATAGGAGGGCTAAACAAATAAAAATCCTGAGCACCTCTGCAGTGTGAGAGCTGGAAACTGGTGTGTGGGGCTGCGTCCCTGACGCAGAAGCTTTATTTTCTAAGGGTCGTGTGCGAGGGTGCCCAAGGCTTGAGTGTGGGTGTATCAGCCCTAGGTCCTGAGCCCCAGCTGACGGGCACCCCTTCCTTCCTCTGATGACTTGCACATCAATGATTATGAAACAACTAGTGGCCCCTTGTACGAATTCGTGCACATTGAAAGGAAAATAATTAGAAGAAATATTTTAATATTGCTATTTGCCCTTTCTCTCTTAGCACCTGGGAGTCAGGTGGCGGCCCTGCCCCCCGCTGACACTGGTTGTGTCTGCTGGCGATTGGGCCGCTTGCACCACCTTGGCCTGGCGCCACCTGCTCATGTGCTCCACCATCCCGCTGTGATCCGGCTCTCCTCTGGCCCATCAGGTGGCAGCGCTTCCTGTTGCCAGTGCCACATCGCCAATGCCCACCATGTTCTGCGCTGCCCCCTGGTGGTCAGCACACATCACAGTGAGCAGTCGAATTCCCGATCACACCCAGGGGACAATTTGCATATGAGGCTTTTATTATATAGGATGGAAGGGAGTCCTGCCCCAGGAGAGGAGAGGGTGCTGTGGGAACCAGGGGACAGAAGACTTTAATTCCAGGGCCCAGTGGGAGCAGCATCAGGTGGCAATGGACCCGGCTTTGCCAAGAGACTGGGCTGGGAAAAGGGAGCAAAGGCATTCCAGAGACAGAAACTGCATGAATGGGTGGCGGACTGTGGTTCCAGAGATGGCCACATCTCCCATCCCACACACTCTTCTTACCACGTGCCTGTGGCATCGCTCCCATTGAGAGCTGTGTGTGGCTCTGTAGGAAACAGGACCCCTGTATCATTCAGGGACCCAGTGCAAAATGAACATTCGGGCCCTTGTTCAACAGGGGTTAAGAATTTCTAGGCAGCAACGGCAGAGAGTGGGTCCTTCTGAGAGTGGGCCCCGTTGGATCGTGCCCATCGCAGGCCCATGGAGCAGGCCGGGCCCACCATACAACCCAGGCACTCAACAGTCTAGTGTGGCCAGGTGTGTGAGGTTGACTGGCTCCAGACCGCCTACGGCTCCTTCCCTTCCCGGCCTCAATTCTTTGCAGTGAAGAAAGAATGGTGCCCAGAGAGCTGACCTCTGCCCGTGGTTCTAGAGAGGTGACCTCTAAAGCTTGGACTGCCCTGCCTGATAGAAGTGTCTCCGCTTCCCTGGACAATCTACAACCTACAAGGTGGGGTCTGGGTCATGTGGTATCAGCCTGACCCCTGAGGCCACCACGGGGGTGGTCAGACATGTCTACATGACCAACCCCCAGTGAAAACTCAGGACACCAAGACTCAGGTGAGTGTCCCTGGCAGGCGCCACCTAGGGTGCGAGTGTCGCCATCGCTGCTGGGAGGAGTGAGTGCTGTCTGCGTGTGACTTTCCTGGCTGCTCACGCCTGCCTGGTCTCTCCTGGCCCCCACCTGTTGGGCTTCTTCCCTTTGCTGATTTTGCTGTGCATCCTTTTGCTGTAATAAACCATAACCACAACTATAATGGTTTTTTTTTTTAGTTGAGTCCTTCTAGCAAGTTATTGAATCTGAGTGTGGTCTTGGGCATCCCGGAACTGCACTGGCCTGTCCTCCACCCTTGTACCCCAGGATCACCTGCCAGACAGACTCCTTGCTCCCAAAGCCATGGCCCCCCTCTGCGCCTGGGAGAACCCAACTCCGACAGTGGACAAACCAAAGCCAGGATGAGCCACACAGCTCGGATGGAAACCAAAGAAAACGAACAGAAACACTGGTGTCATGATTAGAACAGTCTATGGGGAGAGGGGGACACCAACAATTTGATGTTCTTTAAAAAAAATACAAAACCATTAACAACAGTATGGTGATTGCCAGAGAAGGGGGGGGGGTAGAAGAGGGTTAACGGGGAATAAATGGTGATGGAAGGAGACTTGACTTGGGTTGATAAACACACAGTACCATGTACAGATGATGGCTTGTAGAACTGTATACCTGAAACTTATGCATTTTTAGTAACCAATATCACCCTAATAAATGCAATAAAAAAATTAATAAATTAGAAAAACAAAACAAACCATTGCCTCCTATCCTAGAGATGTCTTACAGAGATCCCACAGCTGGCAGGCATGGAGCTGGGACTCAAACCAGGTCTGTGTGACTTATGCGCCATGCTCTGGCCATGCCCAGGCCCACACAGTGGTCTGCCGTTCAGTGGGACCCAAGACCATCCAAAGGCTCATCGCCAGCCAGACCTCCATGACAACCGACTCTCGTAAACCCACCTCTGTATCCGGGTGTGCTCCATCTCCTCCGCCCAACCAAGAAGCAGGGTTTACCATTCGTTACAGAGGATCTTTATTTATAATGCAAAAAAAATTATAAATCACTTTTGGACTGTTTTGAGATCTGTAAAACAACTTGTAAAAAATGTAGCCACTCCTTTGCAAGAAGTTCTTGTGTGTGCTGATCTCCTGGGCACCGTCTGCATGGTCCAGGGTGCGGGGAGTGTGTGTGTCCAGAAGAAAGCCTCTCCCTGGCACCCTGATGGCCGGCACCATGGCCCTGGGGTCAGCAAGAATGTGTAGGCATCAGAGGTCCGGTCCACCGACGGGGCCAGGGAAACATCATTCTGCAAGCGTGCAGGGCTGGTCCCTGGCTCATCTTGCCACACTTCTGCTGGTCAAGTGCTGAAATCACTCTCCCATCCGGCTTACTCAGCACTTCTGTCCCAGGCGGCTACACCCCACCGGGGACACGTGGAATGAGGGATGACCAGAGCCGGAGCCAGAGCCAACAAATCCCAGACCTGTTCTTCCTTCTCAGGCTTCAGGGTCTATTTCTCCATCCTCCGGACATGACCCCGTCTCTTCCAGCCAGACTAGGAGGCAAGAGGGGATCAACATGTGGATGGATCCCCCACCCCCTTCAGACCCCTTTCCCTGGGAGCTCGTGGGCCAGTGCCTGTGGGCTCCTTGCTCTGTATCACCTCCCTGAGGTCCCCCCATATATGGGCAGTGCTGCCAATGGATGCTGAGAGGGGATCCCGATGATGCTGGGTCTCACAGGATTCCCACACACCTCTCACCCCACACAATGCTGAGCTCCCAGGGTCCCTGGCTAAGGTTCCTGGGATTGCGCACCCCCAGGAAATATAGTCTCCTGGGCAGTTCTAGAGGTGGGGATTTGATGCTTAGAGAGTGGAGACCTGCTCCACGTCAGCAGGTGGCCAGGCAGGGCTGGGCTTCTCTCTGATTCCTCGCTGCCTGGGGAAGCCCTAGGTATCTAATCATCACCCAGCGCCCTCAGGCCTAGAGGAAGTGGTGGTCTTTCCTTCTGCCCTAAATATCACTGACGAGAATATCCACACCACACCACAGGAATCAGCCCTTGACCGTCCTCGTCTTCTACAGCCTCTCTGAGGCACTATTATTGTCTCCATTTCATAGATGGAGAAACTGAGGCTTGGGGAAGTGGAGCTTCCTGTTCAAAGTCACATGCGGATGAGTAGTAGAGCCAGAATCCAAAGTCAGGGTTTTCTGACTCCACGTCTGTGCTCTTTCTCCCATGCTTCCCTTCTCTGAATGGGGAGAGCGGAGGGTCAGGTCTGAGCTCTGCCTCGGACAGGACAGGAGGGGACCCCTGTGCTGGTCCCTCTGCACTAATCTGCCCCAGGAACTGCTTAAGCTTGAAAGGAACCTCTCCCCTGTGTTAGGAATCCCGCTGGGGCCCAGGGCCTCCAGGTGCTCACCCCACAGACCTTGTAGAGTAACCACGAGTCTCCCCTGCACTCGCATGGCCCCAGGAGCAGGGAAGGTGGTTAGGATCCCATTAAACAGATGGGGACACTGAGGCTCAGAGAGGGAAGGGAGTGTAACGGCAGAGCCAAGGACCTGGGCCTCCGCTGCCCGCACTGAGCTCTTGGTTAGACATTGGAGCAGGAGCCCAGCTCTTCTGCTTCGCTGCAAGCCCTTGGGCGGGTCACTCGCCCTCTCTGGACCTCAGCGTCCTCGTCGGTAAACTAGAGAGAAGGACAGTACTCACAGCCCTTAGGGTTGGAATAAGATTTGTGAAAAGCACTTAGACCCGGTGCCTGTCACTTGGGAAGGTGACACAGAAATGTGACACATTTCTATCCTTTCTGAGCATGGCCCAGCCCCGGTAACAGCACAGGCCTGGTCCAGAGTCCAACCTCGTTCTCCAGTCACTTGCCCTGCTGGGCAAGCTGAGATCCACTCTACACATTTAGAAAAGTGTGCCTAAATCCCCCACCAGGCTTCCATGAGCTCCACATTAGCCTTGTCAGCCTGTGTCCCCCGTAAAGGCCAGGCAGGACTCACGCCTCGATGGCGGGTGGGCTGAATGATGCTAGCCACTGGGAGGGCGTCTAGACTAGGGGTCCACAGGATGAGTTCCATATCACACGGCCTGGGTCTGAACCCAACTCTGCCACTTACCAGCTGTATGACAAGTGTCTCCACCTCTCTGAACCTCAGTCTACCCATCCATAAAATGAGGATGCAAACTAGACCTAATTCAGACTTACTATTAGGACTCAATTACTGCTATCAGAATCATTACTTATTATTTGTTATTATTTATTATTATTATTATTATTTACAACAGCAACCTCAGAACCTAGCACAGGTCTGGCTCAATAAATCTGATTAATGAATAAATGAACAATCTGTCTCACCAGCCCCAACAGTATCTACAGAGGGGCACTTGGGGACACCAGTGGCAGCCTCTCCCTCTCACCCTCTCTCTGGGAACAATTCCATCTTCCCTCCCCTCCCTGCAGTGAGCTACATCCGGAAGGCCCAGAGATCAGCCCCAGCCCGGCGTGGGCGTATTTCCAAGCCTGTCCTGTCCAGCTGAAGCTCTGCAGCCAGCAAGATGGAGCGCCGGTCGCCTGGCTAGCAGGGGAAAGCGCATCTATCAATTACCTTGGCGAGCCTGCCCAGCCCCATCCATCACTCGCTCAGCTGCCGGGAGGGATTGTCTAGCTAATTACTTAACATGCCACCTCTCGCTGAGGCTGAGCCTCGGTGAGGGGCCCACGGTGGAGATCCGAGGGTAAATTTTTAATAAACCCAGGGAGGTGGGGACATGAACTCAGACCCAGAGCACAGAAGGGGGCCCTTGAGCCCGACCCCCCCACACACACACCCGACCTGGCAGCGGGGCAGGGTGGCCTCACCTGTCCTCCTGGAGTCCCTTGGCAGCATCATGCCCGTGGGGGTCGGGGGGGTGATGATGATGTTGGGCACATCCAGGTGCTTGTCGCTCAGGACAGGGGCCTCATCGTGGCTGCTGCTGCTGCTGACACACATTTTAAAGCCTGAGAGGGCAGGCCGTGGAACACACACACACACACATGACAGAGAGACAAGCATCAGTGGCCGCTGGGGAACTGCCCACCGCTGGCTGCCTGCCTGCCTCCCTCCCCTCACTGTCACTGCGAGTCCTGACAACTCTCAGGAAAGAGGGCATTGCTGTCCCCACTTCACAGATGAGGACACTGAGGCTCAGGACAGTTAAATGACACACCCGGCGACCTTGCGTAACACGGAGAGGACAGTGAGTTTTACCTGCTTTGCTCCCGAATATAACTTCCGTGCCTAGAATGTGTCTGACACATAGCAAGTACTCAAAACATGACTGTGAACGGACGAAAGCAACAGAGCTTGACCTGGAGCCAGGCCTGAGTGGAAGCCATGCGTGAAGTCACCTCTCCCATGAATGATTTTCTACAGGAGCCTGTGTAAGATCCGTGTTGTTTCTTCCTTACGTGTTAGGTTGAACTCACCAGTGAAACTGTCTGGGCTTGGACTTTCCTTTGAGCAAAGACTTTTGATTACAAATTTAGTTTCTTTTCTTTCTTAAAATATACTTTTATTGATTTCAGAGAGGAAGGGAGAGAGAGAGAGAAACATCAATGATGAGAGAGGATCATTGATCGGCCACCTCCTGCCTGTCCCACACTGGGGATCGAACCCACAACCTGGGCATGTGCCCTGACAGGGAATTGAACCGTGACCTCCTGGTTCATAGGTCAAAGCTCAACCACTGAGCCATGCTGGTTGGGCACAAATTTAATAGACATGGGGCTCCTTAGCTTTTCTGCTTCCAACTGGTGTCAATTTTGGTAAAGTTGTGCTTTTTAAGAACTTGTCCATTTCTTCTAAGGTGTTACATTCCTTGTCCCACCTCGCCCATAAATTAAGTACAGTGGGGCCTTGACTTACGAGTTTAATTCGTTCCGTGGAGCTCGTAACTCAAATTACTCGTATGTCAAATCAATTGTGAACGAGTGAGACAGGTGATGCTGGGCTGATGTTGTGGCGTTCACTGTGACGTTCGCTGCGCCAACTAGTGGCTCGTAACCCGAATTTTAGCTCGCAACTCAAAGCAAAAAATCGGCCGAGAGACAGCTCGTATCTCGAAAAACTCGTTAGTTGGGACACTCGTAAGTCAAGGCCCCACTGTACAGGTAATTTGGCCAAGCTCAGTTAGAGACCCCCACCTGACCCAGAAGCATCCGTTCCACTCACACACCAAATACCTTCCTCCACTCTTCCCGCCGAGTCAATAGCATCCCATCTGCCAGAAACCAGAGCCTGGGCCACAAGTCCTTCCTTTCCTCCTCACCTCCAACCCCCAGCCCATTTAATCAACCTGCAAGCCTGCCGGCACCCTTCCTTCTCCCTCCTACCCACCTAACTAGTCCTTCCACCTCCTGGCTTCTGCCTCTTCAGTCTACCCTCCAAACAGCAGCCAGAAACTGCGAATCTGATTATACCACATACCGACTCAGAACACTCGCTCGCTCTTGCCAATATCTACAAGTAGCATTTCCAAAGTGTGTTCCCTGGAACACAGGCCTCCTGAGGCTCCCTCGGGAAGGGGGCTTTGTGATCAAATGAGTCTGGGAATCCCACGTATTTGAATGTTGACTGAATCCCATCTACTCTCTCCCTCCCTTGGAGAGAATTAAAGGTTGTGCGAAGTCCTGCAATAAAGGAGTTGCTTTAATTGTGGTAAACCCCGGGCTTCCTGAACTTAAATGTTAAATAACCTTAGAGTCTGTTAACATCTCACAGAAGCACGAGTCATAAAATACACTGTTGATCATAAATGTTGATCATAAATTAAAAGTCAGCCCAGTTTTGAGCTTTCACAATCTGGCCCAAACGACATGCAGCCTCATTCCCTGCCGCCGACCCACCCTCTCCAAACTGCTCATTGTTTCCCAAATACACTGGCTTTTCCAGCCAGTGTATGGGCTGATCCCCCTGACTGGAAAGCTCTTCTTCCTTTACCATGGTAACGAGCTCCTACTCATCCCTCAAAACCCATCACAATAGGCTCTTCTTTGGGGACCATGCCCCAGCAAATCTGATCCCTCCCTCCTTTGTCCAGCAACACTCATTCATTCATCAATCTTCCAGTACTGATCACACTGTATTAGAATGACTAGTTCTTAATTCTGTCTCCCTTTCCTGTGAGCATCTGGAAGGTAGCACTGTCTCACTTGAATCTGGTATAGTAACTGGGACAGAGCAGTAGGAGTGCTTTAAATTTATGTTGAAACACACACACACACACACACACACACACACACACACACACTCCAGGCACTACCACATTGGGTGTTAAAATCCTTATTTCAAAGCTCTGCCACTTTGATTTTCCCCAATCAGCCCGAGACTGAGACAATATTAGCTCACGTATTTGGGCCCCTAGCCAACAGCAGGAGCTGAGCAACGGGATGATTATTATTCCTACTGCTTCTTAGGCCAGCCCCAGCACCACTGGGACAGTGCGCCTGAGTGACGCCTATAGGGTCAGTGTGGTGGTTCTCAGGTATGTCCCTGAGAGGTGGAGTCTAAGGCCACTCCCTTTAGTGTGGGACAGACTTAGGATGAATTCTAATGAATACAATAAGACCTGAAGGGAAGGGGGGACTTCCCAGGGGAGGTCATAAAAGATATTACAACTTCCTACTGGTTCTTCTTCTGGGGGAAGCCAGCTGCCATGTTTGAGGACAGGCAAGCAGCCTGTGAAGACGCCCGTGTGGTGAGGAGCTGAGGCCTCCAGCCAACAGCTGTGTGAAAGAGCCACCTAGGAAGTCGGTTTTCTAGCCCAGTCAAGCCCTCAGATGAGGCTGCGGCCAGGCCAACAGCTTGAGTGTTGGTTGCCTCACAAGAGACCCTGAGCCTGAACCTCCTAGCAAAGTCATTCCTGAATCCCCAACCCACAGAAACTGAGATAATGTTTAAGCCACGAACCTCGGGGGGTAATTTGTTACACAGCAACAGATAACTGATACAGTTAGCACAGCCTGCCTGTCCTGGGAACCCCAATCCTGTTTCCTTCTTGGGGAGCCCCTGTGGCCCCCTGAATCTACCAGGCTGTTTAGTTCTATGAGCCCCTCAAGAGCACCCACCAAGGCCTCTGCCAACTTGATCCAAAGCAGTGGTTTTCAAACCTCCTTTCAAGCAGCAGAGCCACTCTTCCTGCAATCTTACCCAGAAGCCCAGAATGTAAAATAAAAGGAAGTCACGTGGAGGAGGCCCTCCCAGTATCACTGGTAACAGTCGGCATTTACAGAGCATTGCCACATGTCGGACACAGAACCCAGCGCCGTCATGGCTACCCTGAGAGGTGGGAAGTGCAAGCAGCCCCATCTCACAGATGTGGAGACTGAGGACCAGAGAGAGTAAAAGCTTACAGAGTTGAACAGTGTGTGGCAAAGCCAGGATCTGAACCCAAACCCAAGTCTGTCTGATTCTTCTCATAACCACAGTTATATATAAAGGAGCTGGAAAACTTTATGAAAGGGGCCGGACAGTAAATATTTTTTACTTTGGGGGCTATGCAGTCTCTGTTACAACTACTCCACTTTGCCACTGTATCTGGAAAGCAGCCACAGACAGCATGTAAATGAATGTACATGAATGGGTGTGGCTGTGTTCCAATAAAACTTTATTTACAAAAAAGGACAGCAGGCCTGATTTCTGTGGTTTGCCAATCCAGCTCTCGAGCATCCCAGTGGACTTTGGATCAGGGACCTGCATGGTGTCCTAATAAGCAATAATAGAACCTCAAAAACCTGAGGCTCTTAAATGCCAAAAACAAAAACAAAATTCCAAACCTGTCTGCTGGTGGGTAGTGACAGCACCGGCCTCTGAAGGGCAGTGGGCACATGCAAGGAATGAATTCACATAAAGCCCCTGCCCAGCAGGTGGGCCCCGGGGGTGCTCAATCCCTGTTAGCTTCTCTGTAATCATCCATGAAGAGCGTCTCAGGGAGCGCCCACAACAAAAGGAAGCTCTGATTACTGTTATCTGTGGCAGAAGGGAGCCTCCTGCTCAGTCTCTAAGGCCCCTTCTTCGGTGAATATTCCAAAGTTCTTAAAATAAAATGCTAATAGAGAAAAGCCACACTCCTCCCAGGGCCTCCCATTTGCATTTTAACATGTTCCGGGAGCTTGGTGACAAAGCCACATTCTTAATCAGGAAGCATCAGGTCACTCCGTGGGCCCTGGAGAGATGCTAGAGGGAGAGAGGAAGGAGGGAGGGAGGAGGGGAGTGGGAGGAGGGAGGGACTCCAGCTCCTCTCAAATCCCCAGGCTGCCTAATCTCCAAGCAGAGGTGGCTGAGCAGGAGGGGAAAACTCTCAAGAGATAAAGCCGACTTTGGGATTAACAACAAATGCCAACCCTGCCCCGGACTAGGCGCTCATTTGTGCTAAATCCAGAATTGTTATTTCTTAATTACCTGCCGGCCTCTGGCCATTAAGAGCCCATTTCCTGAGGGGAAGGGCTGGGCTGGGGTTCCAGGGCACGGGAATCCAAGGAAGGAAGAGGCAGGGAGGGGACCCAGCACCCAGATGCATTCAAAGATCTCAGGGTGTGATGGAAGCTTCTGCAGGAAGCCCTCAATAGGCCTTGATTGGGCCCTGCTGGTCTTGGGCCTGGAGATAGAGCAAGCCAGACTGCCAAACTCGCCCTGGAGCCGGCCTTCCCTCCGGTGAAACCGGGAGGTGCTGTAACTGAGGTTCGACTGACCTCCTCGGCAACCCGGCTCTGCCCTTTTCCTGTTGGCTGCCCAAAGCAATCACCTGGGAAGTTTAAAAACAGTGATGTGGGACCACACCCCAGGCGCCTGGTGTCACTGCTTACCGTCAGGACTTTTAAAAGCTCCCAGGAGAGTCTCATAGCCGGACGGGGAGCCCCCAAGCGAGGGTGACTGGGAACTGGTGGCTTTACTCTATGAGCCTCAGTTTCCTCAGGTTTAAATTGGAGCTATACTATTCTTGTAGGAATACAATACCTAG